CAGCCGCCCCGGCGGGAGAGAGGGCGGGAGGCAGGGGGCCGGGGCCCCTCCGCAGGGGGCTCTTACCTCCGACCCGGTACATGTTGGCGGCCATGCCCGGGCAGGGAGGGCGGGGGCCCGGGCCCGGGCCGCTCCCGCCGCCTCTGCCTCCAGGTGCCGGAGCCGCTGGAAAATGGAGGCTGGAGCGGCCGGGAGGGGGGAGGGGAGCGAGGGAATTAAAGGGGCCGCGCCGGCCGCCTCCTCCTCCCCCGAACGGCAGGGGAAGAGGAGGGGAGGGATGAGCCGAGAGAGGGCGGGCGCGGGGTGGAGGTGATGGTGGTAGTGGTGGTGGTAGTGGAGGCGGCGGCGGCGCGAGGCCTAGGCTGCCCTGCCCTGCCCTGCCCCGCCCCGCCCCGGCCCTGCTCAGCTCAGCTCCGAGCGCGGGCTCTGCAGGGCCTCGGCCCCAGGGGGGTCCCCGGCCCGGGGCTGCCAGGCCCCTAGCCTGAACCACGCAGGTGCCACCCACCACCCTGGGTGCCCAGTTTGAAGCCCACCGGGTGGCTGGTGTGTGGGCACTGCCTGCGCCATCCCTGACCCGACCCCGTCCCACATTAAAGCCCCGCACCAAGCGACTTCCTACTGCTGAACAAGAAACTGTCCTAGCAAAACAAAGGAGCCAGGCACAGGAGCCTTAAAGCCGCTCCTCTGAGGCCATGGTTACGCCAAGCCAGGCCACCGGTTGCCTGAGCCCTTCTGGCAGTGGTCGCAACTATGGGCAAGTGCGGTTAAAACCAAGCTCAAGACGGACAGCGACGTGGATCGTTTCCTGCTGCCCGCAGCCCCTGATGGGTTGGATCAGCAGGAGAGGATGGGGACCGCAGCTACCGCGCTTCAACAACGTGCAGGCCCCCAGCTTTCTAGCCTCTAGGTTTAAGGTCACCCCTTTCTCTTAGTAAAAACAACACTAAACATTTGAAAAATTAAAAGGTGCCTCCCTCATTCCTGTTAGGCCTTATCCCATCCTTGAGGGTTTTGGCCAATCGATTCGCTCCAGGAAGACGTTCACGAAGGTTGTGGTTCAAGTGCTATCGCCATTAGGCAAGGATTCCTCAGGGCGACATCTTTTATTGAACACGCTGCATAGCTGGGATAGAGTTAGACCAGGGTTCAAATGCAAGACCTCCATTAGGTCTCTAGGCTTGTCTAGCTCTATTCCAACTATACAGTTAGTCCAATAAGAGATATCATCCTAAGAAATCCTCGCCTCTTGCATAATTCCTTGACCATCGCAGCTACAACATCACTCTAACCCTGCTGCTGCTAAAAGGATCACCCATCAAGTCAGTTGCATTTGGAGCTGCAGTAGTTGCTGCTCCTTCTGTGCCGAGTTCCTTAACCAGTGCGGACAAGACAGAATCTCTCTTACCATTACGTTCAGTGACAGCAGCTGGTGTTGTCCAGTATTTCCCATCCAGTTTTATCAGGGCTGAGTTTCCAGGTTTATCTTCAAGTAAGCTTTAGGCAGCATTCTGACAGTTAAAGAAGAAAGCCAAAAGATGTCTTTGGAGTCAACATCCTGGAGCTTTTGTATCCTTCAGACTAGGACTACTCAAGCCTAAAATGTACTTCTGAGGTTAGAGCATTGTTTTTCAACTGACCTGAGGTAACTCGGGTGACTGAAGCAGACATGGCTGCGGAGGTCAGAGTTGACTATTTTTTTTTTGGTAGACTTTTCTTAGTAATATAATATACAGCTTTCTCTGGTATTACGTTTCCTGGGGGAAGGCTAGCATTAATATTGAAATTGTTCTATAATCACTGTAAGTTGAAATTCAGGGCTGGCCAATATAATCCAGTGTCAACAACCATTTTTCAGAGGTCAAACTGGAAAAAAAAAGTCTTCTAACTTTCCCTAAGCCCTTTTGACTTACAGGTTTAATGAGAAGTAACATTTTTATAAAGATAGAAAAAGTTAATGGTTATTGACCAGACCTGCCTCGTTTCCTCCTTCTCATCAAAGGAAGTTATTTAAATTGCCATTCTTTCAGATCACTCTAGAAGATCTGCATGTTTTTGCCTTCATTTTAGGCCCTGTGGTGTGTTGGGTCAGCACGCTAACATCCAGGCTAACGCTAGTATTTTTGAGGTCCTGCTACTCCTTATGCAGTTTTTACAAGAGGTCGCTCTGCAGGGACTGTGGGATCACAGTACAAATACTACAGGTAATCAGACTTTTCTCTTTATAGAGAGTTAAACTCTCATTAAACAGATGCTACAGACTGCATGGTAAACCCCTGATACATAATCAAGCCAATCTTGTTTGAAAACTTTGGAACTGGCTTGCAGTAACGGGCCAAACAGCTATTTTAATCAGTTCTTTATTTTTCTGTGGCAAGAGTGAGCAGAAACTCTTTTACATATATCGCCTCTGGAGAGGTCAGATCATAAAATAGGGCTCTTCGAGAAAGTGTAACCACTTTTACAGGCTCTCTAAAAGATTGGCAACTGCTTCAGTATGTATTATATGCAAACCCATGAGCAATCTCTTGCATTTAAGATGCATTTTGTCCGTTTGTGAGGGTACAAATGGTTTGTGCTCCATCACCAACATGAAATATTAAATGTTTTCAAATATCCTACAAATTACTTGTGCGTTTGTTAATCAGAAATTCTCTCCATTTCAGCACGGCTGCTCTTCAGGTCTTCATATGCAATAGTCAAGATTTCCAAAGCTTTCTAAAATGTTTACCTCTACAAATGCAAAGGGCTAAATCCTCCATTGTCTTTGAAAATCTCAACCAATAGTTTCCTGAATAGCATTCCAGCCACTCATCTTCCATTAATCTGTGCAACTAAAGGACAAACTTACCAAGATGATAGCTGCTGGTGTCTACTGAAATAGCTACAAACCTGGAAGCATCATAAAATAGCACTATTGGGGATACAGTAAGTAGATGCATCAGATCCTCAAAAACACAGTCCTTTACCTTATCTCAGGTTTACCTTCATTGTTTTAAGCAAATAATTAAGAACCTGCCTTTCAAGGGTTCCAAAATCTAGCAATTACTGAGACATAATACCATTTCTATTTTCAAGGTGATGGCCTTTCAGCTGTGGCTTTGATTTCTTTTATCACTGCCCTAACCCTTTCTTTATCAATCAGTATAACTGGTTTGCTGGAACATACATCTTTATCAATTTAGTTTTAGTCCATCATCTTCAGTTGCCTTCTAAATTTACTTTAGCTTTAAGTTAAGCTTAATAGATTCTGTTCAACTACAGTGTCATCTAAAAACTCCTTTGCTTCAGGCCTCAATTAATCTCATTTCCATGAAGAAGATTTCTGAGATATTTGTGACATTGAACAGGAAACAGTGAAATTCAGTGTGCCAACTGGTGACGCTGCCTGTTTGCCATTACTAGGATAAAACAGCACTTAACAGAAATCTTCAGCTACATGCAATGAAACTACTGTTGCTCCAGATTATTTGGAGAGGAAGCCAGTAATTCTCCCAATTGATGCATCTATTTTGCAGTGTTTTGAGGGCAAAACTGTGTTAATTGGGAATCTTCAGGTAGCTTGAAGCTGGGGTAGAGACTCTAATGCCAACCTCCATCCTAGATTCACAAATCCAAAGTCATTCTAGCAACCCTCAACAGTGCAAGCAATTTCATAGGCTAAAGGCAGCAGGGTATAATTTACAGGAACTCTGGGACTGCTAGAAGTTGTACCAGGAACAGAAGTGACCCCAGTCAGCAATGGGATAAAGATGCCACTATTCTTCCCCTAATCTCCACCTCTCTGGTCTTTCACCAAATGAGAATCTCTCTCTCTTCCACTGCTGTTTTCATAGATTTCATAGACATTAGGGCTGGAAGGGACCTCAGAAGATCATCGAGTCCAGCCCCTTAACCCAAGGGGCAGGAAGTCAGCTGTGGTCATAGGATCCCAGCAAGATAAGCATCCAAATTTCTCTTGAAGGAGTTCAATGTGGGTGCTTGAACCACCTCCAATGGCAGGCTATTCCAGACCTTGGGGGCTCAGACAGTAAAGAAATTCTTCCTTATGTCCAGCCTGAAATGGTCTTGCAGGAGTTTATAACCATTCAACCTTGTCATCCCTTGGGGTGCTCTGGTGAACAAACGTTCCTCCAA